ATACGCATTGCCTCAGCAGCGCGCGAGCCGCTCAGTCACACAAATAATATCAATCTCCTCAGAGAAAGATGGCTGCAGCAGCGAGCTCTCACGGAGGTGGAAGAAACTGCAGCGCGGGCTTCCAAGCCTCGAGAACGAGCTCTAGATATAGGGAACACGGGTCAAGATAGGAAGAGCCGTCTCCAACCCGTCCGCCTGATCATGCGCGATCCCCGCGATCTCAGTCGCCGCCGTGCCTCAGCAGCAGCGGGACCACAGGCACGGACACACTCCTCGGAGGCGGAGCGTCGCGCCCTCTCCCCGGGGGAAGGACCGCAGCGCGGGCTTCTGAAACCCCGAGAGCGGGCGCCGGATCTGGTGGTTAAGGGTGCGCGAGCCGCTCAGTCACACAAACAACATCAATCTCCTCAGAAAAAGATGGCTGCAGCAGCGAGCTCTCAGTCAGAGGGGGGAAGAAACCGCAGCGCAGGCTTCCAAGCCTCGAGAACGAGCTCTAGATCTAGGGAACACGGGTGGAGATAAGAAGAGCCCTCCTCAAAGAGAGCCCTCTGAGAGCGAAGCAAGGCAGTAACAAACGCTACCAATGAGGGCCATCAGCTCCCTTGAGAGCTGACTCTGCGTGCTTCGCTCCCAAGTAGACAACAAACAAACTGTGTGTATCCCCACCCTTAAAGTAACGCGGGCAGGGAGGAACACACAGCCTGAACGCTGCCTCAAAGAGAAAGGAAAAATTGAAATCGCCTCATATGACCCCTTTAAATGGATAGATCAGGCTCTAAATTAACAGAGACACACACCTGTGAATGAACATCCTAAATCTATATTAATGCACCTTCTGCTTTTCAGGAGTCGTTGGACCCCCAGGTCCTTGTGGAAGACATGGTCCAGAAGGTCCTCCTGGGCCTCCAGGTTCCCCGGGCCCTAATGGAAACCAAGGAGGGATTGGCCTTAGAGGTTTGAATACTTATGCTATGTACAAACAAACTGATGCTGACACTAATTTTAAAACTAGAACAATCATGTATACATTTTAAACTAAAAAATGTTCACTTTCAGGACCTCCGGGGCCCCCAGGGCTCCATGGACTGGACGGCCTGAAGGGGGAAAAGGGGTATCGAGGTGAGATTCATTCACAATTTGTTTGTGCTGTCAGAAGTTTGTTTTGATATTCCCAGCTTGAAAACATCCTTGTCATTCAGGACAGGATATAAACGGTGATAGGGGCAATAAAGGGCTGGCTGGAGACAAGGGCGCTCCAGGAGACTCAGGGTTGCGAGGCCCATCACAAACAGGTGTTCGAGGTCCAAAAGGACGGCGTGGGTGCCAAGGTACATAACTCATAATCCTATTCAACCTATTCATAACTTCTAATAGTGACGATTACTGTGTGACTGTACAGGCTTCCCTTTCAGTTTCATAAAAATGCGGCATTAAATGTGGTTCAACAGTATGTTGTTGTTGTTGTTTTTTTTGTTTTGTTTTTTAAGAAATTTCTTTTATTCAGCAAGGATGCATTCAATTGCTAAATGTCTAGTGACACTAAAGACATTTACAAAAGATTTCAATTCAAAATAAATACTGTTCTTGTGAATTTTCTAATCAAATAATAATCCTGAAAATTTCCACAAAAATATTAAGCAGCACAAATCTTTTCAACATTGATAATATTGCTTAATGATAATAATGTGTAATTATTTTAAGAAATTTTTCTTGAGCAGCAAATAAGCATAGAATAATTTCGGAAGGATCATGTGACACTGAAGACTTGAGTAATGATGCTGAAAATTCAGCTTTGCATCTCAGGAATAAATTGTTTTAAAATATTTTAGAAAACAGTTCTTTCAGAGTTGTAATAATATTTCACAATATTAATGTTATTGCTGTATTTTTAATCAAATAAATGTAGCCTTGGTGAGCACAAGAGACTTCTTTCAAAAGCATTTAAAAATGTGTACCGACCAAAAGTTTTCAAATGGTGGTGCACTTTGTTTATATGTTACTGTTGGCTAATTTCAATATTTTACCAAGCAGAATTGTAAATAATATCAGGCAGCACAATCACATGTTCATGATCTACTTTAATCCACACTGCCTTCTCTATCTACTTTTTTTTTAAATAGAAGACCCTGGTCCAATGGGTCCTCCAGGCTTTCGTGGTGAAGAATGTATGATTCCTAAACATGGACCTTGTGGAGAACGGGGTTGCGCTGGTCCAGATGGACCTCCAGGTGTGTGTGGACATTTGGAGTCACAAATGTTGCGTACAAATAGGATTTGAGGGCTTAAGTTGGATAGCACTGATACAAATGAGGAAGACAAGCTGTAATGTGCCCATGTAGACTTTGTGTTTATGCATAGAATTATGTATTATGTGTATGGTGTATGTTTTGCTGTTGCAGGGCCCAAGGGAGAGGAAGGAGAGGCAGGCTTTGTGTTCACAGTGACTGGTGATTTTGGTGACCCAGGTGATCCTGGGTCACCAGGGTGTAAAGGAGAAAAAGGATTGTGTGGACCCTGTGGCCTCCCAGGGTCTGAGGGCCTAGAAGGTCCAAAAGGTAAAGGAAACAGCTTTCATTAAAAGTTTGGCTTATGAGTCCAAAATGTTTTGGGGCCACTGTATTAGCTTTCCACTAAGCTGCTAGTATTGGTAATAGGAGTGAGCAAGTATTTGATTCGTAGAAATAAAGTCCATGCAAAACAGATGTAAGATGCAAACAGTGTCTTTCTTTATCGTGCTTCAATGAATAAACATTGCTTCCAGTTAGCTTCCTGTGGTGTCATTTTCTAGTTCACAGAATACAAATATCAAGTCCATACCTTGTAGATGCAGCACATACTGTTCAGCTCAGTCCAACACATATAATTCAATAAGCATGGTCAGCATGTATTACCACGATCCTGAACAGTCAAAAACTGTGCTTCCCTACTACCAATACACACCTTTTACCTGTTGTCTCATTAACCAAATGCCCTAATATACCATGCTAGAGCGCCACGCAATAAACAAATATATACTTGCATTAAAATTACTCTTTAAATTCACAGTTGTGTCATTCAGGTTGTTCTATTATTATTAATCCACAGGTGAAACAGGACAATGTGGACTTATGGGCCATCCAGGACTCCCTGGCCCCAAAGGTGATTGTGGGCCACTAGGACTCTGTGGTGCAAAAGGAGACAAAGGGTACCCAGGTCATTGAAGCCTTCAGATCATCAAGCTGACCATCTTATGAATCAATAAAGTTATGATTTATACCGTCACTTTCAATTTCTTTCTCCCTTTGTATTTGTAGGGCTAAAAGGAGAGCCTGGGACTGTCATAAGTCCTACTACTCCTTGTCCCCTTCCTCGGGGTCCTACTGGTGCTCGTGGTGCACCTGGCCTGGTTGGTGAAGTTGGTGAACATGGACCTAATGGCATTGGGGGTCCGAATGGTACAACTCAATTTAACAGCAGGGTGTTTATTTTCATAAGATCATGAAACATTTCCCATTATTGGCAGAGTTGTTATTGTTAACTAAATTCCAAATCATTGAAATTAATTAAAATAAAATATAAATATTAGATGAAAACCTTAAACCTTAAATGAAAAATAGAAATATACTGAAAAGCACTGTAAAAATGATGAACAGAGATTACTGAAGTACTTTTTACTAGAAAATACTTTGTTTTTCTTGTTGAATTCAGTGTGTTACTTGCTGTTTTTTTTGTAATTATTTGTGAAATTGACTAGCAATTTTTAAGTGAATTTTTTTTTCGCCACCAATTTTTTTCAGTGTAAATAAGTTTAAGTGAATTAAAAATTAATTAAAGCTATATAAAAAAATAGATATATATTTAAACAAATATTAAAATGACATAAGCACATAACAAAATTACTAAAACCTAAACTAAATGTAATAACACAAAATATAAAAATAAAAGCTAATTTTAAAATATTAGTAAATACTATAATATATAAATAATACCAAAATAACACTACTTCTTGAATGCCAAGACTAATATTAAAATAATATATCTATAAATAATAAAGAATATATAACTTTATATTTACAAAAAGCACTGTATATACTTCATTAAAGCTTCATTCATTCTAAAAAACAGTTTTTCTTGATTTCAAAACATTCAAATGTATCACATTAAGATTCTATGAGTGAAAACCTATAATGTTTGATGTCATTAATGTCAAAATCTTAAAGTTTGAACGTGCAGAAGTGCAAATGAGGGTAAGTAAATGATCAGAATTGTTTGTGTTTGGATGAACACTGCCCATTTTTTCTCAGGTATAAAGGGACAAAAAGGAGATGGTGGATTTCCTGGACTTCCTGGGCCAGAAGGAGCAGACGGACTATCTGGAAACCCTGGAGAGAGCGGCGAGAAAGGAGAAAAAGGCTCTCTGGGTATGTTTTTTTTATATTGTTAACAACTTACAGTAATTATTGACTCAACTGTTGTGCCTGACACTGTTGTATCCTGTTTCCTCCTGCCATCATTCATCCACTACAATTACATTCATATATTTAGCAGATGTTTCTATCCAGAGTGACTAACATCGACCAATTCATCAACCCAACCATTTGTCCATACGTTTCTTTTTCCATGCCGGGACCACCAGGACCAGTTGGTGATCAGGGTCCTCCTGGACGGTCTTCCTCCGGCTTCCTTTTGGTGATGCACAGCCAGTCTGAGATTGTGCCCACTTGTCCTTCGGGCCTAACAGATTTATGGAACAGCTACAGTCTACTATATCTGGAGGCTCAGGAGAGAGCGCATATACAAGACCTGGGTATGTGGCTAATAAACACATTCACACTCAAAACTCCTATGATTCCATAAAATGCTGTCTAGGTATACAGCTGACTAGGTTTTGAAACAAAGCTATGATGTAACAACCAGTGTTATTTTAGTATCATTGAAATACTATTGTTTTTTTTTTATCTTTTTTTTTTTTTCATAACTTTAGTTAATGTTTTAGTAATTTTGTTGTCATTTCTTTTTTTCTTTTTTTTTCTTTTTTTTTTAATATGTCTGTATTTTATTTTTTTATTTTATTTCAGTTTTTTGTTAGTTATTTTAGTGGATCAGGTGAAAATAAGAAATGTTTCTTTGGCTAGTTTTTTAACTAGTGAAATCAACACTTATTTTATTTAATTTTATTTTAGTTAATGTTTTTGAGATAATTTTTTGAGACTTTTTAAAATATTTTTCATTAGTTTTTATTTTGTTTTTCCCATTAATTTTTTTTAGTTAAAGTTTTAGTAATTTTGTTGTGTTTTTGTCATTTTTATTTTTGTTTTATTTTAAATATTTCTATATCATTTTTATTCATTGTTATTTCAGTTTTAATTTTAGTTATTTTAGTGCATTTAATTTTTATTGTATTTCAAGTAACAAAAATTTTTTTGAGATACTAGTATGTTTTTTTTTTATATTTTGAATAATTTTTTTGCATTTTCAGTTCATTTTAATTAAAGCATTAGTAGTTTTGTTGTGTCATTTTTATTAGTTTTTTTTTTTTTTTTATATTTCATCAAACTTTATTTTTATTTCAGGTTTAGTTTTAGTCATTTTAGTATTTCAAACGACACTAAACTTATTTTATTTCAAATAGTTGCCAAGGCTGCATTTCAAGTTTTTCATTTAATATTTAGATTTTATGTCGGCTTTATTTTAATTAATAAAATTATTTTTAACAGTTTTAGTTTGTGTTAGTTACAGGGATAGCTCACCCAAAAAGATTTTTGGTCCCCATTGACTTCCATAGTATTTTTTATTTTTTTTAATGGCAAATACTCTCCTACAGATATTATATAAACTATTTATCACAAAATATTCAAAGATCATGTTTAATTATTCATATATTTTATTTTTGATTAATTATATTATAATGTATTATATTTACTTTATTTGATAGCTTGATAACTTACACCTATGGCATAACGTATTCTCTCTCTCTCTCTCTCTCTCTCTGTGTGTGTGTGTAAATGTGTGTACCTGAAGTGTACTCCATCCCATTAGAGAGTTTTGTTGTGTCATTTTTATGAGTTTTTTTTTTTTTTTTTTTTAAATATGTCTATATAGTTTTTATTCATTTTTATTTTGGTTTTAATTTTAGTCATTTTAATGCATCAAGTTAAACTAAATGAATATGAAAAATGTTGCTTTGCCAACTGGCTGAAATAAAAAAAAACTTCATATTTATTTCAGTTAACAATAAAAGTTTCAGTTTAGAGTTTTAATTAATTATAATAACCCTGATAACAATAATGTTCAAACTTATTTTTGTGTGTTTTCACCAGGCCATGCAGGTTCATGTTTACGTATGTTCAGCACCCTGCCATTCTCCTGCTGTAATATGAACGCCTGTGATTACGCCAGCCGCAACGACAAATCTTATTGGCTGTCTACAACCGTCTCAATTCCCGTGAATTCCACCCTGAGGGGGATGGAAATTCAACAACACATCAGCAGGTGTGTGGTGTGTGAGGCGTCATTGCCAGCCATTACACTACACAGTCAAGACGGGACTAAACCAAAGTGTCCATTCAATTGGAGAAGGCTCTGGTTCGGATATTCATTCCTTATGGTAAGGGAAGAGAAGCACGACTCTGTTCCTAACCCTAGTAAGCTGCCTATCAGAATTTTTAGGCATTTAGATGCATTCCTACTGCCTTAAATTACCTAATTTTGGTGAAGGAAATATCTTTATAATAATATATTTAAATAAAGAAAATATTTTGTTAAAATATATATTTAAATACTTAGACATTTGGTTAAACATGAACCATTTAAGTCTGAACCAGTATCTTTGATATTATTTTCTTATGTTAGCATATCTAGTTGTTATGTTAGCAGCATGCTAATGTCATTTTCAGTCAGAATAAACTATAAGCATTAGTCTATGTACAGTACCGTTCAAAATATTTTTTTTAAGAAAATTAACATTAAGCAAAGATGCATTCAATTTATCAAAAGTGACAGTAAAAACATGAATAATTTTACAGAAGTTTTCTACTTCTAATAAATGTTGTTCTTTTGATCTTTCAAATCAAATAATAATCCTGAAAAAAATGTATCACTGTTTCCACAAAAAAAATATTAGGCAGCAGGAAATAAAAATAATGTTTAGTAATGTTAAGAATTGCTTCTAGAGCAGTAAATCGGCATATTAGAATGATTTGATGTGTCACTGAAGACTGGAGCAATGATGCTGAAAATTCAGCTTTGCATCACAGAAATA